GTTTATTTTTACATGCACACATTATAGTATTTTATGTTTATGTATGTTCACCCTCATGTATTCACACTCTGGGTGTCTCACCCTTGTTAGAAGAAATGTTATTCATTGTGCCATGAGCTAAGCACATTCCAAAGACCAAGGCTGTCTCAGGGAGAGTTGGGCGTCAGAAGTGTTATGACTACTGTTTATCAGACATTAGCCATCACCAGTAGACATCCTTGGGAAAAAGGCTACATTCTTTGGGAAAGAGGCATATAATAGTGATTTTCTTGGTTCAAGTCAGTTCTATCCTGGAACAACTCAGTTTGCTTGTATCCTGTGTGATCCAAATAAATCTTGCACGTGTAGTGAAACTCTGAATTTTCTTTGCTTTCTGTGAGTCTGTGTCACCATTCTGGGTACCTTCAGTGGGAGTTTGTGGTCTCTCTCTATAGTCAGATAGCTGAAAGTTTAAGTCAGATAGACATCAATTGAGGTGCATTGAGGCAAGGACAATTTTTGTTTTTGAAAGTATAAAAAGAAAGCAAGTGAAGCATTTCTTAGATCCATACATAGATGAATTGAAACCATTTTAATGTAGTAATACCGGAGGCATTTACTAATCACACACTAAGAAAGACTGTGAGTGAACATCCCCGGCAAGTGCACAGAGAAAGGTTATCAAACACACAATGGCAGATGCAGTTTGGTGCTTTGTGAGAGCTCAAATAGTTTTCATGTCAGTGATGAAGGAAATGAGTAACTGTGACCTTTTGGATGAGTTTGTAATATGTGGGAGTCTGCATCATAACTTGTTTTGACTGATTCTTTTCACAGCAGCTGTCAGCTTCATAAAGAAACAGGTCAAATGTGTTGGATGAATTTAAAAGATAACAAATTGTGCGGTCCAGACAATAATGCAGGGTATTTGTCTGAAATTGTAATTTATTCATATTGAGAGCAAAGGCAACACAAGCAGCACAAGATTGTCACCGTGGCACTACATACCTGTTTCAGTGCAGCTGATTTATCATTCTTTAAATATAAAAAGCACATTGATAGTATAAAAGTCTCCAAGGCTTACATGGTATTTATGTATCTGTCTCCGTGTCCTATTTTGGTCAGTGCACATCTCCTGTAGAATTTGTAAAAGGACATGAAAATCAAAATTGTTGTGGCATGTCTAAGTTATCTTCAGCAAAATACTCACAAATGTTTTATGTATCAGTTTATCCTCACATCGATGGGGGGATGTTAAACCAATCAACTTCTCATCTTGGAATCTATGACTGCATCTCCCAAAGAGAGAGAGGAAAGGAGCGCATGTGTCCGCAAAAAGTGCAAGTGTAACAGCTCGCACACAGGAGAACAGAGAGAGAGAGAGAGAGAGAGAGAGAGAGAGAGAGAGAGAGTTCTTGCCATGTTGTTGTAGTACAATATTAAAGGGTTGTCATTTTGTCCTCATGAAACAAATTGTTTCATATATATATATATATATATATATATATATATATAGTTCAAGTATTCATATAGTATCTGGGCTCAAGGTGAAGTACGGAGGGACCCTAAAGAAAATAGGGACTCCTGTTGTCTAGAGTTGGGTCCTGTGTATTAGCTACTGTAATCTTTATATTTAGTCTTATAAACTGTTTAGACATCATCATTGATGATCGATGATGATACAACTGAGCAATCAGCTTCCACATTTATATCAATTAGATATCAATAAGCTGTTGTTTCCTGTCATCTCCTGCTCCTGATTTCTGGACTAACTCCTGGATCTCCTGGTTTTGTAATGTATTTCTGCAATCTAATGCTAAGGAGATTGAATAAGATGATCTATAACTATGATAACATAGCGTAATAACTGTGTCATGTGTTTGATGCTGCATCTAACATAAGCTAGTTAACCAGGTAAATAGGTCCATACCACTGAGATTTTAAATACACACACACACACACACACACACACACACACACACACACACACACACACACACATACATACACACGTAAATCTCTGTCAGTATGTCTTTTTCACAGCAGACGTTTTGACTTCTCGTAGTAGAAAAGTCATTCAGGCGTCATTAATTTTATAATTTACACTTGTCCTTTTCTTACTGTGAAATGTCAAAATGTCTTCTGTGAAAAAGAAACGGCCTAAATAAATGACCATGAGGTGGTTAATTTGTTACAGACCATACACATCCATGGTAAACCCACACAGGTTTTTTGAGTTAACCTGCCTGATGACACCCATGGTGTGGGTGTGAACACCATGTTTTGTTGCCCCTGTCATCCAACTTCAACCAGAAAAGAGGTCTAATGAGCCAGAGTGCATGAGAACACCTGTGTAGGTGTGTGTAGGGCCATTAATGAATACATACTAAACTCACATACTGTTCACGTTTCACATGCAGATATTTCCTTAACACCAAATTAGGCACTTTTGAGTATTCTAGGATTGTGAGTACCAGGCTGTGGCTGATTTGGCTGTAGCAGCATGTACAGTGCTATTGTTGAAAACCTTGAAACCTGTTGCAAAGAGGTTGTGGACGAATGCCCAGCAACTCAATCGGTGTGTATGTGTATTATGTGACTGCGTGTGTGTGTGTGTTTGTGAGTGTGCATGTCAGTGTGTGTTGCCGTGCTCCTCGGGAGTGCTAGCAGGCCAACTGAAGAGAGAAAGAAAAGCAGCACTGCTCTGCACCATATGCCAAATATGAGCCTGCCTGCCAATTTGTGGGGGATACTGGCAAATGCTAGCAAGGCTGAATTCTTGACAGAGGGAGATGAATAATTGAACATGTGCGGAACGAAGTTCTGTTGGGATAGAGTGGGGTGCCTTTATACATGGAGAGGAGGAATGGAGACAGTCGGGTTGTCTACGAGCAAAACTCTCATTTAGATAGTGATGTGTTTGCTTTTTGTAAACAAGTCAAAAAGTTGCAGAGATTTTAAGATGAACTTGAATGGATTTGTGGCGAGACATGAGTGGGAAAAAAGCACAACTCATTAATGCATTTGGATCACAACGACAACCAAAGAGGCCAAGAGCTGTCATCGATCCTGCAACTCCGAGCCACAACTACACAGAGAAACCGAGAAAATAAATATACACACTGAAAAATCAGTGTAACTTAATCAATTAAGTGAAGACATCTATTCAAACAGTGTTTGCATTTTATATTCAAATTGCAGTTATTTAGCACACACTCCAATCAAGATCAGCCTCATGTAAATGCAACAGTAGAATCATCTTCCACTTCAAAGACCTTACTCCAGACTCTTGTAATTGACCAGTAGTCCAACCCATTCTCCTGACAGCAGATAATTATTGATAATATGATGAATGCTGACCATGAAATACCAAAGAGTTTTTAGTCCATATGTTTAAGGCTGGCATGTGCAATTTTACCACAAAATAGCACATTTGCATTCAACACAACTGGTTTAGGCCTAAAATAAATGTCAGTGAGAGTTGTTGTCGTCAGTTATCTACTACAGGCTGTGAGAAAATGTTTATGACAGCTTTCAAGTTGTGATTACATTTAAGATATGGGACATTTTCCTATCATCTCTCAGCACATCGCCCTCAACAAACCCTCTAAAGAACATACGGTAGAAACAAACTTGAGCTAATGAAAGTATAACAGGAAGAGTCTACAGCCATGCTAGCAGCTCTGTGAGACTGTACCTGTACTGTAGACACAGCTGTGCTTTGAGCTAAATGCTAAGGTCAGCATGCTAATATCTTCACAATGACAACACTAACATGCTGGTATTTAGCAGGTTTACCCTGTTCACCATCAGTTTAGATGGACTGTTTAGTCCATGTTAGCATGCTAACATTTGCTAATTAGCACGAGTGCAGCTGACTATTAGATGAAGTTGAAGGATCACCAAATATCAATATCAATAATGTTGCTAGAGAGAAAGTCTGGGGAGTTAAGAGGATTCATTCCTCTGTCGACCATGAATGTTCACACACAATTTCATAGCAGTCCTTACAACAGCTGTTGAGATGTTGTAAATTGCTGGACTGACAGGCTACATTACTATCTACCAGACCACTAATGTAAATGTAAAAACTGGGACACTTCTCAGCATTTCTCACCAAACTTTTGTGAGTTCACTGACCAATATATAACATATTATTTTGCTCTTGAAACAAAACTCCTCCTGAGAGAGGGGCGGCCTGGAGCCACCAGTGAGCCTTTCCTTAACCCTTGTGTTTTTTTTTTCCATCACTGGGATGCTGGGATTCATCCTAGAGTAGCGTGTCCTGAAACCTTGAGTTTAGAAAGCAAGTGTATCTGATCAAAGTTCATATTTTTCTAACTTTAAGTCAGCTTTAAGGCTTTCTAGATTAAAAATGTAAGCAATAAATGCAAAAATGAGCCATGGAGATTGCTTCTGATCAAATCTCACTAAGCGACTCAGCTGGAGGACACGAGAAGGGCAGGCAACCAAGAGAGAGACGTCAAGAGCATCCACGGCTGCCTCTCCTCTTTCTGTCACCCGGCTGTGGTGTCAAGGTCTGAATAAATACCGCCTACAACGATGTACATAAGTGTGTGCAGTGTGCATATGCAATATCCTGCAATTCTCCTGTGTTTCATTGAGTAAGCACAAGAGCAATATAGACATCACAACAAGCGTCTGAAGATAATGATGAATCCCACTGCTTGAGGCAATGACAAGAAGTATAAGAGAGAAAACAAACTGTGTTCTGGTTAAATGATGCTGCCTGGATAATAGACAGAGACAAATGTGAGCAACTACGCAGTTGTGACAGCAAATTTTCTCCAATAGTAGCCCTACGTTCTGTATATGTCACTGTCCGGCTATTGTCTGTGACTTTCCATTAATCCTCAGAAATTGATCTGTTTTGTTCTCTTGTTTAACGGTGACTTTAGTATTGCAATGCCACTTTTACTGAAGCCTATTATGTTCTAATCATCCTCTCTCTCCTCTCCCCTTGCCCTTCTTTCTCCTCTCTCTTTCTCTCTCGGTGACAGATACCACCCTGTCCAGCGAACGTGGTAAGTACTGCAGCCGCACACTCCCTTGATTTAGAGCCATCTGTGAGTGGACTCTGCCAGCGTCAGCGGATTGGCTGTTTGTGTTGATGTGGAAGGAACCATTCTCGGATGTTAGTCTCAGTAGGGGAGCGCCGAACCTCAAACATCATTTGCATCACCAGGAAACTATTTTCCTCTGCATCACATTGCATGTCATGGCAAATGTTGAAACGAGGAGAAAAACATCAAGCGAAGGCAATTATGAAAGCAGCAGCCGCAGACCCATGTGGCCAATCAGAATTTGAATTTAGCATATTTTCCCTGCACGCATTTTGCCTCGACCTACTTAGTCAATTTACCCCCTTTTGACTCCAATAGTATTCAATAAGAAGCCACTTTCACTTTGTCTCCTTCCAGCTTTAGTGGAACACATCTCCATGCAGTCTAAATAGAGAGTAGATGGATTCCCCCACTGAGGCAGCCTCTCTTTTCATTTTATTTTGAATTTGACTCCCCTCTGTTGTGCTTGTCGTTATTAATGGCTTCCCGTGCTTAGCCGAGCACTTTAATCACTTCGTCAAACAGGTTGAAAGAGAGTCTATCTGCAGTACTGTTTTTGAAATATCTTTTCGCATGTGCATGTGTGTGCTCTGGCCAGACATCTGGTTTGCCTTGTAAGCAGCATGAGAGCACCTGTGTCAGCCATACTTCTACTGCTTTGTGTGTGCTAGATGTTCCCACTGCACATGATATCATCAGAGTTTCAGTATGGCACTGAGACAAAAAGTGATCTTGCTGAACTTGTTCTTCGCTCCATGAAGGAGGATGCTTTGGGGCGAAATTGTCAAGCTAAATTGGTGTGGTGGCATCACACAGTGCAGACAAAACACCACACGCTGTGTGTCTGGTCTTTGAAACCTCAAAGTGGCAAGAGGGAAGAGAAGAGTAAAGTTGTGGCTTAGATCAAGCACTTGAGGTTTATTTTTGTGTTCCTGGTTAACCCTCATTCACTGGTGGAGGCGATACGCAGCACAGAGAAGCTTGTGTGATCAATTTTTCATTGCCAAGCTAGCAACAGTGTGGCGCTTTTTTTTAAATCCAGTTAGGCTTGAACAAAGAGCTGGGAATAAGAAGTCACAATAGGCAAAGATTTGTATTCATCCTGAGTGTTATCCTTGATTTTAACCTTATCTCTGCCTTTCCTAACACCATGAGTTCTCTCTTCTCCCACACCTTCTTCCCTTTCCTGTACTGCTGAGTAGTCACATAATGTGAATGATGTTCCTCCATGAAAGGCAGAAAAAGGAAGAGTGATGTAATGAATGGATTAAAAAGAAGATGAGAGAGTGAGAGAAGGCAGTGCTAGTGCAAGGTCTGTGCGCCCTTGGCTTATCACTCACCTGAGCATACATCATTCAATTTCTGTATGTCGTTCCTGTACATGTGCAAGTGTGGGTTTGTAAGAATATAAACATACAGTTTTTACCTGCAATGCAAAACAGCACATACTTGAGCTCCCTCCCCGTGTCTTCCTGTGCTTAACAAGCTCCTCTCTGCCCCCTCTGCAGTGATAGGGTGTGTTTGGAGTCGTCTGATAGGCCTCCTCAATGTGAAGTGGCTGCCGGCGCATCCTCTCCTAGCTTAATTGGCTGTACCTGAGGCAGGAGGGCAAGGTGTAATTGCGATAAGAGAAAATGCTGTGCTTGGCTGGTTTTAGGCCCTTATCTATAGTCCCCGGATTGATTATGGTTTTTCTGCCAGCCGTGCAAATTGTTCAACCCCATGAACTGCAGTGGAAACCACCTTAACTCTGTCTTGGACAAACTGCCATGCACATCCGCAAACTATAAAACAGACGGTGCATGTACTGCTGATGAGGCTACAATGTTCTGACCACTGGCTTTCAGATCTGATCTCTGCTGGTTGTGGGCGCTCACACAGTGTTTCAGGCTTTCTTTTTCTTTCCGCTGAAGGCAACAGAAATTATATTAGAGAGAGTACAGTTTAGCATCTGGTGTACCATATGAATGTTTTTCTATGGTCAAATTAACAAGGTTATACTGTATCTCCCTGCAGTTATTTTCATCTCAGTCAGAAATCAATATTCCTCTAAATGCCAAAATGTCTTAAAGCAATAGTTCAACATTTTTCTTGCTGAGAGTCAGATGAGAAGATTGCTACCTCTCATGTCTCTATGCTAACTATTTATCTGAGCCAGCAGCTTAGCTTAATAGCTTAATTTATAGAGACTGGAAACAGCTACCCTGGCTCTGTCCAAAGGTTGAAGTATTATTAAATAAATTATCTGCATTTGTATCCGTACTCGGAATGGACAGGACTTAAACCATATGTGGGTGGTGCTTGTACTGGAATTTGACAGGATTAACCAGAAGTGGTCATTTAAACCGGAAATTGATATGGACTGATCAGAAGTTGCTATATATAAGAAAATTATTAGCCTCAGAATTGAGTTTCAGAGCAACGTTTTAGATCACAAGAGTAAGAGAACTCTTAACAAGAATTTGCTATATTTAACAAATCCAGTCTAAAATGTGGCCATAACAGATCATTAGATTTATCATGTTTTTTTTTTTTTTTTTATTAATCTAAATTAATGTGTTCAATTAAACGTGTTGATTAGTGAGCTTAAGAAGAGCTGGTAGGCAGATTTTGTTGGACAGAGCCAAGATAAATGTTTTCCCCTGTCTCTGCAAGAAAGTGTTTCCCAAGCATTTCCCAAAATGTATTTTTTTTTTATTATTACTATTTTTACATGTGAGGTCAAAGCCTCTGCACCAGATGCACCTACTGTAATGCTCTATGCACAGTCTCTCACTCTGTCTGTGTCTCCCCCACCCCGTCCTCTCTTTCACTGGTTTTCAGTAGTCGTTGGGGCTGAAAGAGCAGCTAATGGGCTGTGAAATGTCTCCAAAGCTAGAGCAACAACAGAAGCTAATGTCTCAAAGCCCTTCTAAAACAACACAAGCGGCAAAGAACCCTGACAGTGCAAAGAGAGGAAAAGGGGAGGGAAAACATTCCTGGTTTCCTCTGATGTGTCAAAGAGGCTATTTCTGTCAGCCTAATTGTAGTGAAGCTTTCCTAGTGGCCTTGGTGAAATAACATAATTGGCTGCTGAAATGGATTGGACTGCAACGCTGGCTGCACTCTGTAGGGTTTCGTTTTTCCCATGTAACGCAAGATCTTGAATGCAGCTCAACAGTGTTCTGACAGTTGCTGTTTCAATCTTGTTGGCTGCAGAACACAATGCTTAGCAGGGCAAATTCAAGGCTCAGGGATATTGACAGTGTGAAATATTACAGTTGACAATTTTAGCCGGACAAGTTGATTCAGCTGCATGGAACCGGAGGGCTATTGCTCCACGTGAAATAAGGGATTTAGTTTCACAACCTGCCTTATAAGTGCTAATTTGACCATGTGTTCATTTGAAGAGTAGTCTACTTAAAGCCCTAGTGGTGGCTGGCCCGCCCAGGTAGATAAAATCTGAATTCCTTTTTTTTTTTTCAAGCAACATGCACAATTGTGATTTCATAATGCACACAGACCAGCAGAAGTTAAGGGGACCGGCATTATAAACTAAATAATATGTGACTGAGTGTGTTACACCATTGATTGAGTTTCCTCTTTGGCCGTTTGCTCTTTCAAAATGAATAGGTGCAGTCTTTGGTTATGTACCGTAACCTCAGATTCTATGAGTATAGGTGCAGCCCCCATATTATGTACTCTATACAGTCCGTGTGCTTGGCATTAAGGATGCAAAATATTAAACTGAGGGTGCAATGCATGCCTTTGCACCCTCGTAGAACCAGGGCTGACTATAAAACGATTGTAACTACATGTAATAAAAAATAATGAAATGAAATGCAATGCAATGAAATAAAAATAAAATAACTCATCATTCCCACACTAAACGTGAATCGTATCGCTGTTGCAGTACAAGGTTTCTACCATATTGTGCAGACCTTCCTAAAAACAAATGTTATTGGGATCACTGCAGAAAAATGCACATGAACATACAGAAATTCACCATCACTATTCACTATTGCTGACCATACACAGTCCAGCCACCACTCACCACCACAAGTAAATTCTCAACCTGTGTGGAAGGAATAATGTTAAAAAAAAAGACCTATGTGGAGATGTTAGCATTAAATGCCAAGGAGGAACTGGGTAGAATGCAATTTTTGATCATTCGCAAGCATTTTTCTCTAAAATGTGGTGAAGCATGCGACCCCTTCTGCTTCTCTTCCCCCTCAGTACCAATTAAAGCTGTTTTTCTGCAGCAGATCTTGAGCTGATGAAGACAGCCACTAAGAGCTCTTGAAGTGGAGTCGCACAGGACCTGTATGGCAGATGGTTTGTGCAAGAGTATGAGCAAAAGAAAAAAAAACAGCAAAGAAGGAAACAAACAAGCATAAAAATGGCAGCCTGTCTCCAGTGAGGAGCTCGTATTTTCTGCCCAATTTAAGACTTACAAATTCCAAATTTTCAAACTTTTCCTCAAAAATACTGTCAAACCTGCAGGAGACCAGGGAAAACATTAGATCTTTTTCTTTGGAGAATTTTTGCACACCATCTACAAAAAACTATTGAGACAACTCAAATCTCAGCGAACAAAAAAAAAGGGGGCTGGGAGCTGCTTGATCTCTGTGCTTTGACCGGCTCTCCCAGCTGAATGGAGACCAGCTTTGCTACGGGCTTTCGCTACAAAAGCTGAGACGGCAGAGAGTCAAGGCACAGAGGACAGTGCCTAATGGCTACAAGTCCAGCTTTCCCCAGTGGATTACATGTTTTAAAAAGATAAGGCTTGATCAGAAGAAGCCAAAAAGCCTCTTTTTTGTGATGCAGATGAGGGCAGACAGGAAACTTGCTGAAACCAATGGGATCGAAGGCTTTGTGCTGAGGTTTAGAGCATACAACTAGAGATAATACAGAATACAAGCACTTTACTGTGCAGTAAGTTTTTACATCACCTGTGGTCACCTCTCCTTTAATCCAATGAA